TGCAGCTGCTGATCATCGCCTCATAAAAACAAACAACATCCTCACGAACATCCTTGACCTGTCTGGGTCCTGCCTGGACGCTGCTGCTCCCTCTCCGTTGCTCTTTGCTCCGACTCTTTTCTGTGTCTGCAGAGAGCGCGGCTTCCTCACACAGTAATAACAGCAAAGAGAAAGACACTGAGGCAAAATCGTATGAGTTGCATTCACCCTGAACGGTTTATATGTTTTCTATGACTTTTCTACATTATTGAAGGCCACTGACTGAGTTTTTGTCGAACTTTCTCGTTTTTGTGCAAAATAAGACCACAGTATATGACTTAATTGCTTGTTAGAAGCCAACAAGCTGTGAAATTCCTGTTGTAAAAAAAGCAGAATAGGACAAAATCAGCAGGGCTCAGCTGGACTGTGATTGATCCTGTGGGGAAAATGGTCCATCTAATGTGGTTTCTCTCTTCAGGATGTTGAAGATTCCTCCACGGTACTTAAAATCTGCAGGATGCTGGAGATTTTAGAGGGCTTTGAAGCACTGTCCTCTGCTCTGAAACAGCTGCAGCTCTTATTTGGATCCAATATGGATCCTCGTGCTCTCGCTGAGAATGTCTTTGTGCAATTCGGTCCACATGCCGTGCCCTTTTTCTTTGTGGGAGAATGTGTAAACAGTGCAACACCTACCACCAGCTGTTACAAACACACAGAGACTGTTGGACACACTTAGCTGCGACAAAATGATAGTTTAGCCTCTTTCAAGCCACGCGCTGTGGTGTGTGAGCCAAGTGAGCAGGAGCTACATGTGATGCTGGCGGGTTCAAGAGTACACTTCAACAACCCCGAGCCACGACTCTACAAGCAAACCACCGATGGAGAGTATTAAAATAACAGGAAATCATAGTGATGCAAACCGAAAACACATTTAATGTCCCAAAGAATAAAGAAATGGTGACTGGCATCACTTATGGGGCGCTAACAACAAGCACGGGTAAAACCATCTACTCGCTTAATTTGCGCAAATGTAGACACGTGAATGGATAGTATTTACTCGCTTCATTCACCCCTCAACCGTAATTCCAACAGTAACCCCTACCTATTCTGGTTTTGGTGATTGAAAGAAAAGGTATCATATAATTCGGGGCACCCACACACCGTACCAGATACCAGTGAACAACCCTCCGTTTTCATACGTCACCCAGCAACCTTCATGCTGATTAGTTATCACGACGTGAATATCCGCTCAAGTTGAGACATTTTCAGCTCCCGCCCAATTCAAGTCATTCTCTCCGCCAGAGTAGTAGGAGTGTCTAATTGCGTCTTTGCATTGACTTTACATGTAGTTCAGTCGCGTGAATAATTTGACTCACGCTTGGTTTGTGGAGACAGTTAGAGATATGCCTGCATCCCCACGGATGAACCACCTCAGCAGTTGCCTCCGCCTGTCCAGGGTCAGATTCTGGATCATATATGTAGTGCACTGGTAGAGGTTCTCCTGGAGCACTCACCAGATCTGTTTTTGGTGTTTTTCCACCTCTGCATCTTCCTGCCTTAACCCCAATTTCCACCACATCCGGAACGACTGTGAAAAGGCCGTATGCGCCGATCGCAGCTGATCGTTTCCATTCAAGTTTATTGGTCCATTTCCACCGGCTTCTTTCTGTTCCTCTGCGGATCAGCAGACTCCACAGACGATTGCAAGAGTTCTGTTTTTTCCAGACGCCGCAGCATACTGCATAAATTTATCACAGATTAGCAGACACAAAATAAAACATCTGGCTTCTTTCAAAATAAAACACAACTTGTTTCAGGCAGAATGTATTTCACACCATGCAAATGGGCGGAAACGAACAAGTCAAAGGCTTTCAGACAGCATTTCACCCCCATGACACCATGGATGAGGAGATACTGACTCTAGAAGTCTAGAAGTGGATTTCTTCCTCTTGAAGGACACAATCTACTGCTTATATGTCTATGTGTCTGTCTTTATAAAGACAACTCATTATCGCGCGATTGTATGTGAATCTGTGGGTTCTTGTGAGTTCTCGCGATTCCCGCTGTCTGTAATCCGCCACGAAATTCGCCTCACAAACGGATCTGGTAGGAATTGGCGGATGGCGAAAATTGTTCCATATATGGTGGAAATTGCGGGTCAGGCAGTGAAGCAGCAGGAGTGCCTCATTACTACAGCATCCCCCCCTGCAAACTGAGAAGCTGCAGATCACCAGCATTGATTGTACTCAAAGGACAGATCAGATGAACCCACACAGAGTGAGAAAGCGTTACCTAATCATGTCCAATTCAAACTTTTTCAGTCTGTTTGTTGAAAATGCTCATTTAACAATGAGTGAATATTTTTTGTGCAGCTGTAGTAAATGAATCTGACAGCTTCTCTTGAGTTTCAATAAACTCCCCTTCTCCCTAATCCACTTTGCAATATCCAACAAAAAACTGGGTCTCACTCATTTCCTGTCGGGTGCCGTCTTTAGAGTGGTGCTCCCCCACAGCCGTGACTGGGCAGAGATCTTCTCCCCCACCCTGCACTTGACTTTGACTCAAACAGCCAAAGACAGCGAGCCAGACCTTGAGCCTCACTGAAATTATTTTGAGGGACCTGAAAATAACAGGTCACAGATGTGCCCCATCTGATATAAACAGACCTTGAGAGGATCTACGAGGAGGCTGGGGGAAACTGCCAAAACATGCAAAGCTGGTGGAAGCAGATGAAGCCGAAGAAGATCCAACAAAGAAACGAAGAGGGACTATAAATGCTCAAGTACTACAATACAGGATGAGTTTGGGTTTGAAGATTCGTTACAGAAAATCATGTGCCGGTGATACAAGAAATATGATAAAACAACAAAGAATAAACCAAGAGTACGTCTTCATTTCCAGAGGGAAATACGAGGACATCATGTGGGGGAACTTAAAGGACACTCACGTGAACTTGATATTTCTATAAATCTTGAATAAAACAGCCTCAGAATCTTTTTAGATGTGGGAAAGTTGAGATGAAAAAGTAAACTTTAAAACATCACCTCATACAGACTGGTTTCAGCATTTATATTATCTCATTTTCAGGTCCGGTATTTCCTGTTAAGAGCACAACGTCTCTCTTTTCTTCTGGATAATACCACCTTCACAGGAAATACTATATTGGAAAAACACAGATTTATACACACCACTCCCTGATGTCTCACTCACAGCTAACAACAGATTCTAACAGCACTAAGACAGCTGTGATAGCTGAGTCTTCACGGATCATTGGGGGTAAGAAATGTAGAGACAACGACACAAAGGAGTGAAAAACACTCCTAAATGTTATCCTCTTCTTTTTTGGGGGGATCTAACCAGTAAGCAAATGAGATACAGAGAAATGAGTTTTGAAGTTTATGAAGTAACGTGTTTCTCCATCCTTATTTATGGTCATGATGACTGCAAGAGATCACTTCAATGTGCAAAGCATGCTGGATGCACAGTAATGTGGACCAATTTAGCAACATTGCATGAAAAACTAGAGTTGGAGGAAACACTGGTGTGCTATCGAGTGAAGAAACTTTGTGTAGTTCCAGTTTGGTTGAGAAGACTTCCAAATTTAAAGACCCACTCCAAAAAATCAGTTTTTTTTACATGTTCATTTCACACTTTTCTGATGCTAGAGGACATATCATGAGTGAAATAAGTGCAAAATTGCATTCCTGAGCATTTCTGCATTCAATTCGCTGTGAAACCCAAACGGCAGCTTCAGACAGTGAGATTTCCTACATCACAAATCCAAGCTCCGCCCCCGGAACCCTGCCATGCAAGCTAGACTCAGAGAAATAGAGAGGACGAAAGTGAAACAATCATGTGCGTTAGTGGATTGCAATGCTCATAAGAAAGCTAATTATGATATTAACTTTCATCATGTCCCCAAAGACATTAGTGTCTGAGAGCGAAGTAGCTCCTATGTTATGTTACAAGCATGAAGAGAAGTGTGCAGAGCAGCGCTGTCTCCGCCCACGACTCCAAGGTGAATTGCGAATAAGCTCCTGGAGCTCTGCAGAAGAAACTGATAACACTTAAAGTTGTAAAAAAAAAAAAAAATGATCCGAGTGGGACATTAAGGAAAAAAGTGACAGAAAACCGTGTCTAAGCTACACAGCTGCATGAAAACTGCACATTGCTGAACGCAATGGAAGCCATCATTCAGAAAACTCATGCACAATTCTTTTACTGATGAGAACTCTTTAAAAAAAGAGACTGTATCTTATATACTGGTGTCTTTTAAAGCTAAAATGATGCTGTTTCTCAAACCCTTATATAAGAAGTCCAAAGGTTTTCACTCGTATCATCTCCACTCTCTCTGTCCTTCAAGGGTTAAATGCAAAGGTCCTCAGGGAGAAAAGTAAGAGCCATCTGTTGTCATTTCAAACAGCTGCTTCTTTGAGACACACACACACACACACACACACACACACACGCACACGCACACACAGTAGAGGCATCAGTGATCCAGATGGCACAGCCTCATAGCCAAACATGGAAACTTTGCGAAACGAACACGATAAGAGACACACAAACATACTTAAAGGACGCACACGCTGAGACATTAAGACAAATGTTATTAGGAAGGACTTCCACATGCTGAGGGCACGTCTGCTCAGCTTTCACAGCCCTTCACATTCGATTCTCAGTGCTCTCCGTTACTCTGCCTAAATGAAATGTGAAAAGGAGGCACACAAAGAGAAGGGGCAGAGCGAATCCTTCATCTGCTCACTTCAAGAAGAAGAGGAAACAACTTTAGGAAACTAGTTATTACGGAGCCGGACTTCCAGGAGAAGAAACACAAACACTTTTATGAACACACAAACCTGGCACTTTTTAAAACAGTGATTAATATTTCATCAGACACGCGGTCCGCATGAGACGTGCCCCCATTGAACAGCGGGATGATGAACGAGTGCTCACGGCGAAGGATAGGAAGATAAACACCAGAGCATCGCCAAGACGACAGCAGGAGGCGGGGACATCTATCACACCAAGGTTGCCACGACAACCTGTCGGCTGTTGTCGCCAGGCGACCGCTCAGTGCCCGCTTGACTCGGAGGACCGTGGCCCTCAAGCTCCACGGGGTGCAGGATCCAACAAATCACCAAGTTACATAACAGCAAGAGGAGGAAACAAGGAAGGGGGCTTTTAAATAAGGACACAACAGAGGCACACACACACACACTGAGAGAGAGAGAGAGAGAGAGAGAGAGAGAGAGAGAGAGAGAGAGAGAGAGAGAGAGAGAGAGGATGTGTAAATGTGACACCTGGTTCCCAAACTTTTTCTCGGTTTGTTTTTCTGGAACAGTGAAATGTTCGGTTCTCTCTCTCACGGAGCAGAAATAAAATTTCATTTCCATCACAATGTCTGAATGTGGGTCATATAATTGTATCCAACACACCTCATATATTGGAGTAATTAATCGTAATTTTCATGTAAATTTGGTATGAAATTAGTTCATGGTTTCTCAGTCTCTGAGCGACCCTGTTTCACAATGATAAGACAACACCACCACCCCCTCCTTTACCTCCTTCACAGCTCTCTCTCTCTCTCTCTCTCTCTCTCTCTCTCTCTCTCTCTCTTTCTCTCCGTCCTTGTTAGCTCAGTTTCAGTTTCCTCAGGGAGCGAGAAGAACCCTTCAGACTGAACTACAGAAGAGGGATGTCTTCACCGGGAAAAGATCAATATCTAAAAGCATCAGAGGCCACATGTTCTGCAGCGAGAAAAGCACCAAATGGCAAATGGATGTTTGTCTTTATTGTGGATGAACATGATGGGTTTTCACTCTGCAGCTGAGCACCGACAAAGTTAGCCAACCCAAGGTCTTGATTCGACATGTTCCCACCTAGTTTAGAAGTAACAGCTAATGAGGAGAGCGCCCTCTGTCTGCGTCTACTAATGTAAAATCAGGTGTACAAAACGCACTTTGAACACCTTTCTCTATCACATGTTAAGAGCGAGGAGATATTACTTTTTTTACTCCGAAGATGGCGCTCAGAGTCAGACTATCAGACTATTCCAGCACGCCACGTTTTCATCTTTTCTCCCACTGTAAAGTTGCAGCTATATGGCGACTTTCAGAAATCAACAGCGAGCAAAATACTTTTATCATGATAAAAAAAACACCAGAATCAGAATCACAATCTCTTTATTGTCCCATAAAGGAAAATTAGTTTTGCAGCAGGGCTCACAAAAGACAAGTACGCAATGACAACATCAATTTAAAAAACATAGAACAATTAAAAACATAACAACACAATATCAAAACACAAACACAAACCACCTAAAATTCAGTCCAGAGCTCGTACCAAAAATGGAGAAAAACTGAGTAATTAAAAGTGCAATGTGTGCAAATGAGCAATAATAGTGCAAGACAACATGAGCAGCCTGAGGGTCAACTGCTATTCAATAATTAAATTGCTCTGGGGATACCATTGGGCTCGAATCCTGCTAGTTCCACAAGTTTGTCCTCTTTCTTTCTTCACACACCAAGCGCGAGTAAAATCATTCGCGCGAATGAATTACATGTAAAGTCAATGCGAAGACGCGATTAGACGCTCATACTACACTGGTGGCACGAGTGACGCGACTTTGGTGATAACCAATCAGCACGAAGGTTGCAGGCGAGTATGAAAATGGACGGTTGCTAACTGGTATCTAAAATGGAGAACAAACTGATCATGTCGGTGTGTTGGTGCCCCGAATTATATGATACCTTTTCTTTCAATTACTGAAACCGGAGTAAAAAGGAGCTAACCTGGAGGCAAGTAAGTGAGGAGGTTTGATTATCTGTTAAATCATAAAAAAACTTAGTCTATCACTTGATCCCGCCGGTTGAATTTGCAGGGATTACCGCTGAAAATTACAGTTGACGTACAAATGAAGCGAGTAGATGATTTTACTCGCATTTTGTGTGAGCGTCCTGTGAGTCTTTCAGGCAGTTTTATAACATCTCTAATTAGCGTGTAACTTCAGGATATTTCAAACAAGATATCGGACTTTTTTCTTTTCCCTGTAGCTGATAAACGGGTAAAATCTTCAAATCTATAATGCAAGAGGTTATTTATTCCCAATCCTCGCCCAACTTCTGCAGAAGGTGAAAACTGCACAGGCTGACCTGCACACTGCAGCTCGGTGATGTCCTTGGCCAAGAGCAGGAGTAAAGTCAGGCTGCCACAAAGTTGGCAAACACAGGGGCAAATAAACGAAGAGTAATACTGTGGGATACAGGAGGTAAAAGTTTCCCTTAAATCCCCTCATATTAATATTGTGTGGACTCTTCCTTAATCTAATCCTGCAGACACAGAGCCGGTGAGAATCTGCCGGTGAGAATCTGCTGACTCGGTGTTCCTCTGACCTCTCCTCCTCTTTAAAGTAGACTCATCTGCGTTCCCAATCAGAGGTGATACATGGAGCGCTCTCAGTCGGATGTAAAACACTGTTACCGCCTGAAAACTCATTTTTTAAAGGGTTGTCTTGCTGTAAAAAAAACAATTGTTTTAAGACGAATACGAAGGTGTACTAAAAGTAACTTAAGCTTTAGACAAACAAAAGTTTACTCTGAAGAAAAGCTGCATTATTTAAGTTGTGTAGATGCACAATAGCAGCCAGATACCATTAAGATAGATTTAATAAACTCTTGCATCTACATATCATCCTGTAAAGGGTTGCAGGCGGCTGAAATCATTATTATTGGGTCGGAGACAAGACGACAGACGACCAGACAAATTTAGAGTCGAATGACGAGTCACAGTCAACAGAGCGACCAATCATGGAGCGAGAGGGGCTGATGATTTATCTCTTCGTATATCAATTTTAATCATTATAATCGCCTTTAAACCAATATTCAGAGTGAATATATTGTAAAATTCCACATCTGATGTTTCAGATCCCAGTAAAATAGTCAAAAACCGCACACTTGAGGACTTTTTGAACTAATAATCAGTCATGTCAGTAACTGAATCAGACCACGCTCTCCTAAAAGTGGCGACTTGGGGCTGAAATTGAGCCTTAAATCATGTAATGTGTGGTCAGTCAAAAGGAGATCCCTCCTCCTGTCTGGCTCTCAAACCTGAGTACATCTTACTCAGACGATCTCCCACAGCCAGGTACTTTGGTACCAGGCAATTTTGTGGAAATTACCTTAAAATGTTAGGACTTCATGCGTGAAAAAGTGTCACTTTGAGCTTATATTTTTATTTCATGTCAGGCAGTATCAGATGAAACTACAACTACCCATCTAAGAGCAATTTAAAGCACTCAGGTTTGGAGTCTGTAACAGGCTACCTGCTATTTCCAACAGGAAAAACACAATTTCAGAAATTTGACTTCAATCTAACTAAACTGCATCTTTTACTTTCGCCACATCTTCGTTGTTCTACCTGATACGCCTGCCGCCTTTTCTTCACATGCTGGTTTGGAGCCGCTCTGTCTATCCTGAATGAGAACAAGTTGTCCTGATATCCTAATGAGGAACTTTCAATGTTTCTCTGGATATTAAAGGACGTTAAATGGACTGTGACATTACTGATCTCCACCGCTGACCAGAACAAGCTGCAGGGAACATCGCTTATTATCCGAACCAACTCACCTCCAACAGTCACAGATGATTTAGAGCAGAACGCCACTGTATGACAAATCTAACTCTCTGATGTAAAAGAGTACAAAGAAAGGATGAAGACTCAATACAGGCCCGTTTATCCTTCATGACGTCTTTGAGTCGGTGACGTGAGCTGGAAAAGATCTGTACATGTGAGGAAGACGGTGAACGTATGTCCGCTCCTCACAACCACCTCCCTCTTCATTTTCTTCATCTCTTTCTCTTCTGCCCTTTCCCCCTACATTTCACTTTCTTCAGGTCAATTATGGGAGGAAAAAAAAAAAAAAGCAGAAGCAGACCCCCCTCCCTAGCCTGAGGCCTCATTATGTCTGGGACTACTTTTACAGCCTTGAACACAAGGTGACAGAAGTAACACCTTTTTTTGGGTGACACATCACGCTGGCATACCATCTCAGCTTGTGAGTCATTTCGAGCTGTCCATTATTTTTCCAGCAGGATATAAATCTTTCTTAGATTTGACGGCGCTGAGAGCCAAAGATTACCTTGATAATTCACCGTTTTTCATCACATCAGGTCCAGACCCCTCAGACCCCTCACATATGTACAGAACAGCTTTTTCTCACTGCTCCTCCTTAAATCTGTCAATCGGCACAGAACGGTGCAGTATTCGACAACGCAGCTGTCAATCATCATGTCACCCCATCTTTTTTAAATTAAATAACTTATTTAAATCGAACTTCGATAAACATTAGGACTTTGGCATTAATCAGAATAATGAGAGCAAACTATAATAACAGAAACCATGTTGGAGAGAAATTTATTTGACACTTTCATGAGCTATTCCACAGTCAGCCAGCAGAGGGAGCTCTGAATACACTAGCCGCCTAATCTAATAGAGTTCGTGGTCAGGTAGGACGGTTCAGGTGGATCCGTAGTGGTCCAACATATCTGTAGATTGATTGTGTGCTGGTTCAGACATGATGGCGGACTCAAGACTCAAGGTGGACTTACACCCGAGTTGACGGCATTCCAGTTAACAAGTCGGAAAACCAAGATGGACGCCTACTGTTAGCCGTTGTTAGCTGTCGTTAGCTTTACCAGTTGTAAAAAACAGTATTTTACTCTTACAAACACCATAGCACCGTGTTCACAGTTAGACGTTGGGCACTACAACATAAACCACTTATTTAATTTTACAACAACAAAAAAAAACAGAAGTGCTAATAAATAATAGATTACGAGAGCTTTTACTGTTACTCTTTACTGTTGATGCGCTGCGCTGCCATCTTGAATTGTGACGTTGTCATCAAGTCCGAGTTGGCGAGGATTGTCCAACTTTCCGACTCGAAGCTCGAAAAACCTGATTTCCAGGTACAACTGGAGCGCGGCATAAGTTGCCTTTTTAGAGATAAATGTTGGTTTGTTACAGTTTTTTGTCCTTGAGACCGTTGTCCTCAGAGAGGACTGTCCTCCTCAAGAGGTTATGGACCGTCTCATTTCATTTTTAAGTGGTCTGTCCAAGCTTCCTAAGATGACCCTCAAGTTAGGACAGAGCCAGTATTTTGAATCATGAAAAAACATTTCTCATTGCTTTCTTTATTGTTTTATTTCTTCAACATGGTTAAAAAATTTACTTTGTTTTTTTACGATCTTCAGGTTCAGTGGCAGTTTTACGTGATGATGGTTGGACCGAGTCTTTTGATAATGACAGGAGATTTATAGATAAGAGCTAGTGATTGGAAACCAGAGACATGATATGAGCCTCTCTTTAAAAGTCAGGGTCTGTTTATCTTTGAAGA